TATATATATATAGAGAGAGAGAGAGAGAGAGAGAGAGAGAGAGATCTCTCCTTTTCAGTTCCCCTGAAAGCCAAACCATATATATCCACCCATTAGACTTTGGGGAATTCTGTTGAGTAAGGCATCACCATGATTTTAGTTGCTTCTGGTCCACTTCACAGAATATGTAATCTTAGAAGAGAGCGAGTTTGTTAGTACTTGGACCCACTTCGAGTTCAGCACATTGTTAAAATGTCCTCTTCTCGGACTAGGGATTTAGCTCAGTGATGCTGCCACCTGCCTCAAAAGCGCAAGGTCCCGAGCTCGATCCCTGGTACCAAAAAAAATGTCCTCTTCTCTTCCTCTAGCTTTGATGCACCACAGTAATCATGTGGACAGCAGTCGCTGCTACCAGTGTGTCAAGTTCCTTGTAACTCTTGCTCAAAAGTAAGTATTGACTTAAAAATGTAGGAGGGAAGTGCTGTTCTAACTACAAGTAAGATCTGACTTGGGGAAAAAAAATCTGCCTTGTTTTGGTAACTTAAAGAGCATAGAATAAGTAGCAGATCTTGTGGACTTTCAAAAGATAAAACGCTAAGCCAGTTGGGGACCTAAGAGCAAGAAGAGTTCATAAACTTTCCCAAGGTCTTTCTCATTAATGTGACCTAACTACAGACTGTTTCAGGCTCTGGGTTCCAAGTTACAAAACAAAACAGGCTCTTGAGACAAAATCTTGTCACTATAGCTAATGAGAACTGTGAACCCAGTCACTGTGCTAAGTAGTTTGCCTCTGTATCGCCTCACTCAGTCTTTCCAGCAGCCACGGGAGGTAGGTAATTATTTATCACAGGTGGCTTACATGGCCTGGAGTCATAACCACTAAGACATCAACAAAGGCTGATGAGTTTCAAAGTGAAAAAATTGTGGATTATGATAAAATACACATTACATAAAATTTATTATCTTAATCATTTCTAAGTATACAATTATGTACATGAAGTTCATTCATATTGTTGTACAACCATTATCACCATCCATCTCCAACGTTTTTTTTCATCTTCCCAAACTAAAACTCTGTACTTGTCAAACAATTAACTTCCCACTTCCCCCAGCTACTGGGAACCATTCTGATTTCTGTCCCTGTGATTTTGACTACTCTAGATGCTTAACTGGTTTATTTCAGTTAGCATAATGTCTTTAGGCTCTTCGGTTTCATACATGTATTGGAAATTCTTTCCCTTTAAGTATGCCTAATATATAGTTGAATATATATACCACTTTTTGTTTATTCTTTCTTTGGTTGATGGACACAGGAAGCACACATCTTGTGCTAGTTCACCTGCCTTAGGTAGGTAGGGTGCAGGCAAATGAAAGAGTGGTGACTGTCCCAAGGTGAGTGAGGTAAGCTCTCATCGAGCCTTGTCTATTCTTAATGCTTAATGCATTTTGTTCATGGCTCCTCAGCATGGGGATTGCCATCCTTGGACTGTAGCAGAATAAGACTGAGAAATCTGTGGGCTCGTTACTCTGTTGCATTGGAGCATGCTACACGGTAGCGTAGTTGAAATAAAGCATGAACATGTATTTTCCAGGTGACTGATGGATATCATCTTACCACAATTATAGGTTCACTTTTTTTTGGTACATTTGCAATACAGAATGATTACCTTCTTTGTGGGGAATTGGTACATGCATATAACACATCTTAATTCTTTTTTTAATCCCCTTCCCCTCCCTGTCTTCCTCCACCCTCCATCTCTTGGTTTCTTTCCCTTTTGCAAAAGATCTATCTTCTTTTTCCTTTAATCTGTCTTATTTTGCTCTTAATTTATGTTTTGAGTTTCTTATATAAGAGAAATCATGCAGCATTTTAACCTCTTGTGTCTGATTTGTTTCACTTACATTGATTTCAAGGTACATTCATTCTCCTACAGATCACTCCTTTATCCTTCTTTATGGCACAGCAGTACTCCATGATGTGTAAATTGATTTTCTTTATTCATCTGCTGATGGATTTACAGGCTGTTCCCATGATTTCACTCTTATGAACTGTGCTGTTATCAACATGGGTGTGCATGGATCATCATAATGTTACCTCTTTCAGGAAGATTCTTTGAAAGGGAATAGCTCAAATGGAATTTCCAGTTTTAGTTCTTTGAAGACTGTAGTATTTCCATAGTTGTACTACTTTACATTCCCACCAACAGTGCAGAAGGGTTACTTTTTCTGTGCAGCCTCTCCAGCATTGTTATTACTTGATTTCTCCATTCTTTCTGGAGTAAGGTGGATTCTCAGTGTTGTTTTAATCTGAATTTCTCTAATGGCCAGAGATGTTGAACATTATTTCATGTATTTATTGGCCATTTATACTTCTGAGAAATGTCTGTTCATGTCACTTGCCCATTTGTTGATTGGGTCTTGGGGGAGGTGTCTAATTTTTTTTTCTTTATGCATTCTAGCTATTCTCTGAGAACTAGCTAGCAAAATTTTTTCCCATTGTGTAGGTTTTTCTTTACTCACTTGGTTGGTTCCTTTGCTGTGCAGAAGCTTTTTAATTTGACATGATCTCATTTATTGATTCTTGGTGTTTTGTTTTATTTTTTGTTTTTTGGGTTTTTTTGGGGGGGGATACCAGGGAACGAACTTGGGCCCTTGCCAGGCAGGCGGTAGAACAACTGAGCCAAATCCCCGGCCCTTGGTGTTATTTCTTATGCAGTTGAGGTTCTCTTCAGAAGCCCTTGCCTATGCCTGTGTCTTCAGGAGTTTTACCTGTTTTCTCTTCCAGCAGATTTTTTAACATTTAGACTTGATTCATTTTTATTTTAGTTTAATGCATGGTGAGAGTTACGGTTTACCATTTGTTAAAAAGGATATTTTCCCTCCAGTGTGTTTTTGGCCCCTTTGTCAAAGACCAGATAGCTAAATGTGCCTGGAGTGGTTTGTGTATCTTCTGTTCTGTTTCATTGATCCATAATTCTGCATTTTTGCCGATATCATGCTCTTTTTATGTAACTTTGTGGTATATAACCTGAAGTCTGGAGTTGTGTTGCCTCCTGCTTTGATCTTGTTGCTCAGGATTGCTTTTCATATTCTGGGTCTCTTCTGGTTCTGTATGAATTATGTAGCGGATCATGTCATCTACAAATAATTTGACTTACTCCTCTTCTATACATATCTTTTATTTTGTTTCTCTTTTCTAATTTTTGTAGCTAATGTTTGAAGTACTGTATTGAACAGGACCAATGATAGTAGACATACTTGTCTTATTTCTGATTTTAGACAGAAAACTTTCAACTTTCCCCCATTTAATATAATGTCAGCTGTTTTCATAAAAGGCTTTGTCAGATTGAGATAAGGTTCTATTTTCTTCAGTGTTTTTATCTTGAATGGATGTTAGATTTTGTCAAAAGCTTTTTCTGCATCTGTTGAGATGATTGTGTAGTTTTTGTCCATGCTTCTGTTTATGTGTTATACTACATTTATTGAACCATTGCTTGCATCCCTGTGGTGAAAGCCTACTTGGTTGTGGTGATTTGTTGCATTGGTTGCTAGTATCTGGTTGAGGATTTTGCATGTATGTTCATTGAAAAGTTTGGCCTGAAATTCTCTTTTTCTAGTTGGATCTTTTTTCTGGTTTTGTAATCAGGGTGAAGTTAGCTTTCAGGAGTGATTTTGGGAGTACTTCTCTTTTAATTTTATTAAAGAGTTTGAAGAGTACTGGTATTAGATTGTCCTTGAAGTTCTTACAGAATTCAGCAATGAGTGAAACCACCGGGATTTTTCTAGTTGGTAGGTTTTTATTACTGGTTCAATTTCATTGCATGTGAGGCAGTCAGCAGCACTGCTGAGCTAAATCCCTGGCCTCCATTGCATGATTTTGGACTTTTAAGAGTTTTTCTGTCTTCTTGGTTTGGCTTTGGTAATCCATGTATGTCTAGGAATCTACCCATTTCTTCTGTTTTCTCTAGTTTATTTGAGTACAGGTACTCAAAGTACTTTCTGCTCCTCTGGATTTTGGCATTGTCCATTGTGATTTTGCCTTTTTTCATTTCTAATTGCATTGATTTGTGTCTTGTTTTTTTGGGTAAGATTGGGTAAGGGTTTGTCTATTTTGTTTATTCTTTCAAAGAACCAGCTCTTCAATTAATTGATTTTTTGTATTTTTTTTTTTTTAGTCTTATTAATTTCTGCTCTGATCTTTGTAATTTCCTTCTTTGTGCTAGCTTTGAATTTGGATTTAGATTGTTCTTGTTTTTCTAGGACCTTCAGGCTCATTGTTAGGTAATCACTCTGTTTTTCTGATGTGGGCATTCATGTCTATAAACTTCTTCCCTAGGGCTGCTTTTATTATGTCCCATACATTCTGGTATGTTGTACCATATGTCTTTGTTGTTTAAATCTAGGAACTGGCTAATTTCTTCCTTGGTTTTTTCTGTGATCCATTGATTATTCAAGAGTGTATTGTTTAATTTTCATGCATATTCATGATGTCAGTGGTTTCTTTTGCCATTGATTTCTAGTTTTGTTGAGCTTTGAGTTAATATGCATGCTATAATTGATTATTTTGCATTTATGTAAGCATGCTTTATGGGCTAGTATGGGTCTGTTTTGGAGAAGGTTTCACATGCTGCTGAGAAGAATGTATATTCTATTTATGTGCGCAATTCTAGAGATCTCTTAAGTCCATTTGTTCAGTGGTTGGTTTGGCTGATAATTTGTTGAATTTTTTTTAGTCGATCTGTTTATGACAGTGGGATATTGTTGTGCACCTCTGTAGTCATGTTGATGTTTATCTGATCTTTTATGTTCAGTAGTGTTTCATGAAGTTGAGTGTACCACTGGCCAGTGCATATTAACCCCTTAACCAATATGTAATGACTTTCTTTGTCTCTCCTGATCAGTTAGGGTTGAAGTCCATTTTATCTGAAAATAGGATAGCTACTCCTGCTTGTTTTCACATTTTTGTTGAATAGAGTTCTTTTTTTTTTTTTTTTTTTTTTTTTTTTTAGTCTATGAATTTCTTTTTGGCTTAAGTATGTTTCTTGTATACAGCATATTGTTGTGTTTGTTTCTTGATCCAATCTGCCAATCTGTCTTGATTGAGGAACTGAGGATATTCTCATTGAAACCTATTACTGTTAGGTACTGACTTGTTCCTGTCATTACTTTATTTTCTTGTTGCTGATCTCCTTTCCCTCTTACCTGCTTGCCCTGTCTGGTGTGTCCATTGTTTGTGGACCGTTTGGCATTGTTGACTTCATTGTCTCTTTCTCGAATATCCTTGAGAAATTTTTGGAAATTTTGTTTCATGGACATAAATTTCTTAAGATGCTCTGTCAGAGAAGTATCTTTTTTCTCCATCAATTTGAAAGATAGTTTTGCAGGATATATCAGTCTGGGTTGAAGGCTGTTTCTTTTAGAGCTTGAAACACTTCACTGTAGGTTGT